ATGCTGTTCTGTCATTAAGGCCCCCCTATTTCGTAGCGTCGCGCGCCTGGCAGGTGGCACCCTTTCCGAAGTGGCCGGGCCGGCACTTGCACATGTACCTTGAGCACACAAGGTACCCTAAAAGTGGGTCCCTTGTAAGGGTTTCTTTAATGGTTCCTCTAAGGGCTACTTCATATAGGGTTTAACGACGACAAGAACTCCAAAAGGATTGAAAGTTCATATACCATGAAGGGATTCATAGTATAAAGGTATCCCTAAACCCTAAACCCTGTCATTTGGTCCCCAAGGTACTGGGGCAGGAAGAGCTCCGGGGTGACGCGCAGTGCGGGGAGCGCGAAGTGAGCGCAGGCGTAGCCCTCGGCGTGCAGGGTTTGCCTGGCGGGCTCACAACAACTATCGAGTTTAGACAGGTTTGGAGTTTAGGGCGGCCATTGCAAAGAGGCCATGAGTCCAGGAACTTAAACTCTACACCCTTAGCCCTAAACCCTACACCGTCATGGGAGTAGGCCTTAGCCCTCTTCTGAGCAGGGGCGCCTGGAGTCCGGCAAGGGCAGCTTGTCCTTGAGGCGCCGCGCCTCCTCTTGGACCACCTCCGGGTTCTGCAGGCGCGTGCCCTCCATGTACACCTCTGTGTGGTTCAGCACCACCTGCAACTGCGATTGCTAGATTTTGCGTACAATCCAAGCAATGTGAGACTTGTCAAGGCATGCCAACGAATGAAAAAGAGTTGGGAGGAGCCTGGGTCAGCACGCCGTGGCCAAGTTTCACGGGGCCAGCATTGCTGCTGAGATCCAAATACGTTATGCTTGCGCCAAGGTGGGGAATGGCACTCAGCTGATTTCCTGCCAGGTCCAGGTAGTCCAGGCTCCTCTCCAAGCGGCTGACCCCGCCATCGGTTTGGTTTGGCAGCTCACCGCGTAGGCCGCTGCGGGCGGCCGCCAGGCTCTTCAGTGGTGTCCTGGCCAGGGGAACCAGGAGCTCTGTGGCAGTGCCATTCAGCGGGCAGCCGCTCACCTCAACAAAACAGAAACGGGCGAGAGAGAGCGAGAGAGAAAGAGAGAGAGAGAGAGACTCGTGTCACGTGGAATCCGAACGGCTAAACCACGAGTCGGGCACCTGCAATGGAGACTGAGCTGCAGGCGTTCAGGCGCTCAAGGGAGGGCAGCAGCTGGGGCAGCTGCTGCTCCTCTCCCAGAGGCCGTAGGCCACCCACTTGGCTCTCCTGAGAACGAGATTCCCCAGAGGCTCGAGCAGGAAGACGCAGCTGCAAAGCCACTGAGGGCCGCACGGCGAGATCCAGCTCCAGCAAGTACTTGCAGCAGCCCTGCAAGTCGGAAAGCAGCCCGCCGCTCACCCGGGTCCCGGACAAACGCGCCGTGTGGAGGTTTCTGTGCTTTGCGATATCTGCCAGCTCGCCGCCGACGGCGGTGGCTCTCAGGTCCAAGTGTTCAAGCTTTTGAAGCAACCATCCTCCTCTAAGATCCTGGGCTTTTGCAAGGAACTTAATTGAAATTACCATATAATGGGGCTCTTGTTCAGGAATCTAGATTAAGTTGCCATAATAGGGAAACCATATTCTGTACTACAGATCCCTATTTATGGTGACTTGAACTGAGCTCCTTAACAAGAACCCAGGATCAGCCACAGTGCCCGAGACTGCAGTCTGGCGGAGGTTGAGGATCCGGAGGGGCAGCGTGCCTAAGACCTTGAGGTTGCCCCAGACTCCCGTCTCCTGGAGATCCAAGACGACCAGATGCCTCGGCTGAGTACCGTAGCAAAAAAAACAGGGTAACCTTTCCAATTACGGTAGGACTATATAAAGCACCTGCTCCACCACCAAGTCTCAAAGTGCTTACAGCGCTGATGTTGCCAGAGACTTGAGTCTGAGACAGCTCCAGATGCATCATCTTCGTAAGCTTCTCCAGGCTTTCCAGCCGGCCGTGAATGTTCTTCACTCCGCCCAGCACCAGTTTTTTGAGCTTTGTGAGCTCCCGAGCGGCAGCGAGGTCGCCGGAGATCGCGGTCTTGCTGAGGTACAGTTGCCGGAGTTGTCTGAGATGCCGGAGAGCCTCCAAGTCTCCGGAGACGGTCGTGTCGTGGAGATCCAGCTCCCGAAGCTCGGTAAGATGTTGCATAGGAGCCAGTGGGCCCGAGACCCTCGTCTTCTGCAGCTCCAGCCGCACCAAGCGAGTCAGGTTTGCCAGGGGCTCCAGGCTTCCAGAGACCTCGGTTTCGGCGAGGTACAATCGTTGGAGCTCCTTGAGGTTCTTCAGGGGCGCGAGCTCCCCAGCGATTTGGCTTCGGTGCAAGTCCAGCAGGCGGAGCGCAGCGTGGCCTCGCAAGGGGCCGAGCTCGCCTGCGACCTGCGTGCGTGCCAAATTCAGGGACTCCAGCTTCCCCTTGCCCTCCAGGAAGTTGAGGCTGCCGGAGACGTGGGTCTCGCGCAGGTCCACCTTTCGGAGGCGTCTCATTCCTTGCAAGGCATCCAGATTCCCCGTGACCTGGCTGCTTTGCAAGTCGAGGATCTCGAGATCCGTCGCACCGCTCAAGGCCTCGAGGTCGCCGGAGGAGAGGTGTAGACGAGGGACGATCAGGTGCCGCAGGCTCTTGGTGTGTCGCAGATCCTCGAGGCGTCCCTCTATGTTTGTGTCAGTGACGTCCAACGTCCTCAGGCTGTGGAGCTGTGACAGGCTCGCAAACTGGCCGCTGACGTTGCATGCCGTCAGATTCAGGACCTCCAACCCAGTGCTGTTCTCCAAGTTCTCCAAGCCGCCACTCACTTTCGTCTTTGAGAGGTCCAGATACTTGAGCGGCAGGTCGGAAACCTCGAGGTTCCCTGCGACCTTTGTGTGGGAGAGATCGAGGTGATGGAGGTGTTGGGCGTGCTGCAGGTGATCGACATGCCCGATGACGCTTGTGTGGGAGAGATCGAGGTGATGGAGTTGTTGGGCGTGCTGCAGGTGATCGACGTTTCCGAGGACCCATGCGTGGGAGAGATCGACATAATAGAGTCGTCCAAGCCCACTCAGCTCGTTGACGCCCCCAATGACCGCGGAGTTGGATAGGTCGAGGCGTTGAAGCTGCCGCAGGGATGCCACGGCATGCAAGTCGCCCTGCGCATCGTGGCGAGTGATCTCCACGACGCAGCCCTGGTCATCACAGCGGATGCCGGGCCAGGCACAGAAATCGCCCTCTCCGACGATCTGCAGCTTCCTGAGGGCCTCAAGGTCTCCAGTGCCTCGGCTCAGTGTCAAAAGCCTCCTACCACAGCACAGCTTCAAAACGGAGAGCTGCTTCTGCAGAGCCAGGCACAGTTCGGGGATTTCGTGGTCTCCGTCTCAGCCACACTGCTGGCTCTGGCCTCCAAGGTGCCAGGGGGCGGAGTTGAAAACTCTGTTGACTCTGAAGCTTATACTTCGTACTTCTGCGCTGTAGAAGTAGGTCTGACCTGGGCCCGTAGAATCTATGCCAGGTCAGATCTACGGCAAACTCTCGGCTTACCGATGGACTAAAGCGAAACAAGCAGCCAAGCTATGGGAAACAAGCTGAAACTGAGGTGGGCCTGGTATCGTGGGTCTGTTCCCCCTTCCTGCTCCGACACTTCACACGCACAACCATACGAAAGCTCAGCTTTGGCAACTACGAGGGATTCAGCATGCCGGTGCTGTTCAGGTAACTCTCATTCGGAAAGTCAGATGCTAACTAATACTAACTACCACAATAACAAGAATTATACAATAATATAAGACTGCAGCAATACTACAAAAACATTTAGGAGCTGGCAACTTCTCGCTCGTGCCTTTGGGCTCGAAAAACCGTTGCTTCTCCGGCCCCAGGTAGACTCCCTTGAAAACAACATGTCTAGTTCTCTAAATAAGGGTCTTTTTTTTCGGGCCCCAAAAAAGTACGGCACCCTTATAAAAAGGGACCCGAATTGACATGGCACTCTGAGCTCCCAGAGCTCCACACCCCTTAGGCAAGGAAGGAATCTGCAATAGATCAAAGGCTAAAGAGAATCCGTGATGTCATTTTGGGTATATTACGAGAACATACACCCCAAACCCTAAGCCCTAAACCTCCGTAAACCTCCCTAGACCTCTCGAAACCTCCCTAAACCTCCCGAACCCTAAACCCCTTGAGCCCTCTCTGGGCTGCACATGGCGGAAGGTACCAGGCCCCCCGGCTAGTAGCGCCTTGGACGGCGCGGCGGGCTCCTCCTGAGAATCGTGGGTCTGGGGTTCTATCATGGTTTTCCTTCTTCTGCTCATGTACTCTGGGGGTTTCATAGGTAGTCAAAGTACAATAGGGTATAAGTTGGATATCCATATAGTTATAACCCACATTAAAGGACTTATAACTCCACTTACAACTACCCGTGAACCCTCCAAGCACAGTATGAGCCGTCAAGCAAACCGCAGAAATAGCACAGTAGCATAATCTAGTCGGGCCGTGGCTCAAAACACAACTGGGTTCCTTGTTGCTGGCTTCTGTATTGTACGGGCTCCTTTAAAATGGGCTCTCGTGGACCACCTAAGCGGACAAATAGCCGCAGGGGCCTGTCCAGTATTTCAGTTTCTGGGCCCCCCTGGCAAAGATGGCAAGTGCAGGGCTTTACAGTTTAGGATTTGAAGGTTTCGGGGTTTGGGCTGTAGGGCTTGTAGGAACTGCAGGAATTCCGGTTTGGAGCTCAGGGTTTGAGCTTTGAGGTTGAGGGTTTGGGGTTCAGGGTTTGGGAGCTCGGAGAATGCTGGAGCCTCGACGGGAAGGTGCAGGTGCTCGGACTTTGGGATTTCGATCTCCTCGGTCCACACACCACGATCCTAACTCCGAGCCCCCTAATACCCGGACTGTGAATCCTACACACCCCCGAAGCACCGCAGTCGGACGGAAGCTTGCTGAACTGCTGCGATGATCCGCAGACCTGAGCCTCGGGCAGAAGGGGCCAAGGCCGACGTCGATCCGTCCGCTTGGCCTTCGCGGTGTCTTGCGTCCTGATTTATTGGTCTGGCAGAGGGGGTTTGGCAGAGGGGTGGGGGATCGGCGAGGTCAAAGCTTCGGAGGCGCAGAGTGCGGGAGGCAGCTATAGTCATAGGGCAGAGCTGCAAGCAAGAAACGCCGGCACTCGCCGCGAGCTCTGCGAAGATCTCAGGGCGCACGCCGAAGCTCGGGCCCAGGGCCACGACCAGGCACGCCACGGAGAGCCATGAGATGCGAGATATGGAAGAAAGGACTGAACAAACTGCGGATGCCATGAGCCTGAGCCCACAGGCCTCGGAGAAGCACAAGAAACCCCTGTGACACCGCACTTCACCGTCCGCGGGCCAAATCTCAGGTCTTGCTTGAACCTACGCCGGCTGAGTAGCTCTGAAACCTCTCAAACCATGAACCTCGGAACACCACTCTTAAAGCTCCACACAACTCAGCTATATGCACACCCTGAACACTTAATTTAGCTCCCTCCGTACACTCCGAAACCCTGAAACCTAAACCCCAAACCCTAAATCACAAACCCTAAACCTCAAACCCCAAACCCGAAGACCCTAAACCCCAAACCTTGAATCCTGAACCCGAAACCCTAATCCCTAAACCACAAACTCTAAACCTCAAACCCCAAACCCGAAACCCTAAACCCCAAACCTTACCACAAATCCTAAATCCTGAACCCGAAACCCCACTCCCTAAACCACAAACCCAACCCGAAACCCTAACCCCAAACCCCAAACCCTAAATCCTGAACCCGAAACCCTAACCCCAAACCCTAAATCCCGAACCCGAAACCCTAAACCCCAAACCCGAAACCCTAAACCCCAAACCCTAAATCCTGAACCCTAAACCCTAAACCCTAAACCTCACTCCCCAAACCCCAAATCCTGAACCCTAAACCCTTAACCCCAAACCCTAAACCCTGAGCCCCAAACTCAGCCTCAAGGCATCATCGGTCGGCGGCCTTGCGCTTAGGATCAGGTGGGGCTTACACGGCCAAGGCCGGGCTCTTGTTCAGGGATCTATAAAACCATCTTATTTACTAGTTTTTCCATTGTGGTAACTTAAGCTAAGTTCCTTAACAAGAACCCAGCAGGGGGCCTCAGTTCGGTGGAACCTGGGGAGAGCTTTTTTTGACCCCCCCCACCCTTCTTGTAGAACCTTGGGGCCTTGGGGCATCTTGGGGCTTTCGGTCAAAAAGCCCAGGGTTTGGAGTTTAGGTTTAGGGTTTAGGGCTTGCACTGACTGTGGCCTCAAGGCAGCACGCCTCCCACCTCAAGTTTCCACACTTGCCACAAAAAGAGGAGCGAGACAGGTTTCGAGAGAAGTTGAAGGACCGACGGCACCTTGGTCTACGCGTAAGCCATCGCGTGATCTTTCATCTTGCGTCTTTTACACGGAAGGTGCACGGCTTTGCTCCTGCCAGAGTAGGAGGCTGGCTGTTTTCGGCTCCCTGATGCTCAGAGCCCCTGCTCCGCAGAAGGCCGGATGTCTCCTTGGCCGTTTTTTCTCGGCCAATATGAGGGCCTGAATACGGCTCTGGGTAAATATAGAGTCTAAGCAAAATCAAGAACCCTAACAACAAGTGTTGGTAGTTATTCAGGCTTCTAGATCACAGGAGCCGCACTTCTTCCGCGCGGACTCTCACGCTCTCACCGCGCCGCAAAGGTTCGATCTGCTTCGCCAGCTCCTGGCAACACAGAGACAAGCTCATTCGCTTCCGCTGGAACTATACACCGTGGTAGGCATAGACCGGGGTGTACGATGATTTATAATTTATACGATGACTTAATGCGGAATTATAGAGTTCAATGTTTATCTAAAGCCGCAGCAGACAAAAAAGCAGAAGGAAACAAGAGAAAATGAAAACGAGCAAAGCATGATGGCGTTCTCGTCTAGACAAGGATGTCAGGTGCAGGAGAGGGAGGATCGAAATCCCTCGCGTTGCTTGAAACGGGTTCTTCACAGGGCCAGGTGAGGGGGCGGGGGAATCCCAACAACAGCCAGGCCTGAACAAAAGAGCTCTGCAAGCAAGAAAGCAAGGGAGCGGAAGGGCCACAGGATAGCGAATATAGCTGGCCTGCAGATCGCACTCTCACCAATGACCTGTGGGCACGTCTCTGTAAACATGGGTCAGCGATGGCTGCTGTGGGGGCCTGGATAATTAGAATAAGTAGTGTGTTTTTTGGGCTCCCTTGTAGTATATTTGTGATAAGGAACCCTAGCAGTAATATCATGTCATATTGGTAACTATTTATTTAGGCTTCTAGATTAGCATCTCTCCAATCACCCGTCGCCATCGCTCCGGTCGGGTCCTGCTGCAGCCGCAGGGCCAGGGCTTCCGGGGAGTCCGGGCGCAGGAGTTGCACCGCCGTCAGCACCAGGGGCGCCTCGGAGTTCGAAGCTAGGACTCCGTTCCGCCCATGTCATTTAAGCTACCATGAAACCCTGAAATCCTAAATCCCTAAGCCCTAAGCCCTAGACCCATGTAACCCATGTAGTGTAGGTTACCATGAAACCCTAAATCCCTAAACCCTAAGCCCTAAACCCCAGACCCTAAACCCATGTGATTTAAGTTACCATGGAGACGGAAACCCTATTGTTTTACTAGAGATCCTTGCTTGCCATAACAAAGGAAACCATATCATGTACCATAGATCCCTAGCATGGTTACCGAAATCAAATTCCTCAACAGGAGCCCAGAAAAAAAGGGGAGCGCGCTTTCCGTGGCTTTCCCAAAGGCCCACAGGGGCTCCCTGAAGATGGGCTTCTTGTTGGGGACTCCGTAGAAACGGCTACGTAGTCTTACCCTTTCACCCTTTTCACCCTAAACCCTAAATAAACCCTAAACCTTAAACTCAGATGAATCTTCAAAGCGAAGTCCAAAGACCTCAACAGCAGCTACCCGAAAGCAAGGCGGCCTTAGCTTTCTGGGGATGGAAACCCTTATCTGTAACTGTTAAACCTAAACCCGGAACCCTAACCCCTAAACCCTACACCCCAAAGCCCTACGAGAGACCAAAGCCCAAAGCCCTAAACCCTGAACCCTAATCCCGAAACCCCAAAGCCCTAAACCCTAAGCCCTAAGCCCTAAACCCGAAGCCATGAGCTTGCAGGGGATGGCACCAGGAGGGCCAAGTGGGTCAGAGAGCTCCAGCGATGTGCGAATCCCACGGCGGCCAGAGCTAGGCCTGAGCGGGCAAAGTTCTTCCCCGCGACAGCTGAAGTTTCGGGGTTGAAGGCTTTGGGGCTTTGGGGCTTTTTGGTCTGGGGTTTGGGGTCCAACTACCCCTGATTCGAGGCTAAAGGCGCCCACAACTCAAGGACCATGAAGCCTCTATGAAAGGGTACTTGCGGGGTGAGGGTAAGGTCTAGGATTTAGGATGTGGGGAGCTCCCTCTTCCGTACAAAAGCCCCATCCAGTCCCTCTATTAAAAGCCATATACTATACTATAATAAACTCTATTGACAGCCCTTTAATATACTATAGTAAACTCTACAACCCTATTCGAGTTAGGTGGGCCTCTGTATTCCACTGGCTACCACGGAATACTACTGACTGGCACCGACAAGCATCAGCCCGTCGGATTCTGTGCTTCAGAGCTTAAAGAGACCTGCGATGAAACACCTGCGGCATCTGCCTCTCATGGGCCGGCAAGCTTCTAAACCGGAAGCCCCACGTCCGAAACCTTCAACCCTAAACCCACAGCCCTGCACCGCAACCTCTCCATTCAAGCTTCTGTCCCTCCCAAAGAGTCGGCCGAGGCACAACAGAAGCTGAAGCTCTGCAGAGCGTTCACCTGCAGCGCTGCTCTCAGGCTGCTGTGAGGGTTAGTATGCGGGTTACTACAAGGGATGCTACAAGGTGTAGGGAGGCTTAGGCATACACCCATTTCTATCCCCCTGGAAGCTCAACCTTCCCTTCCCGCCTGGGGCTGAGCAAAGGGCCGCACGCTGCCGATGATCACAGCCATGCCTGGGTGCTTATTAACGAACATAATCTTTGTTACCATTGTAAGAAAATCATTTTATTTACTATAGATCCCCACTATGGCAACTTAAACTAAGTTCCTCAAGAAGAGCCCAGAGCCCAGATGCCAAAGGTGATTGCCACGGACAGCCACAGGCCATCCCTCGAAGAGACGACCTCACTCCACGGTGCACGCTTTAGGGTTCAGGGTTGAGGGCTCAACCTTACACCCTAAACCTTAAGTCCTACGTCCTACGCTCTAAACCACAAATGCTTCTGCTTTGTATGGTTTCAAGATGAGCCACGGAAACGAGGCACGCGGAGCTCAGTTTCAGAGCGACTTCCATCCACACTCCGCCGCAGTAGGCCTCAAAGCTCAAGAGCTAGAGGTGTTCGGTTCCCTGTAGTTACAGAGTTCCTTCAAGGGTTCTTTGAAGGGTTCCTCAAAGGGTCCCTATAAGGTTTGCGTTCACCTGTCAGAGCTGATAAGTCTTTGTACGGTTTCCAGAAGTTCCAAAAACGTAGGCTCTAGTAGATTACGGTAGGTTTGAAGGCTCCGGCTGTACATGGTCTACCTAGTTTAGCGTATTAAGGGCTCAAGGCTTAGGTCTTTCAGGCTTTCGGGCTTCATGGCCTGAACTGGCTTGGAGACCTTCGGATTTGGGGTTTCCTTGAGGCTCGGTAAGGCGGCGTAACGCCGAAGCGGCTAAATGCAAGGGAGCGGCGTACTTGCAAAGAAGTTGCTTCGCCCCGATCAGCATTCCTTCGATGCATGACAGCTCGACAGCCATGCTATGCCCCTGGCACGACTCAAAAGCGGACAAAAGCTGCTACCAGGAAGCTGTCTGATTGGATCTCCTCTAAGATGCTGCGCTCCGTAAGCATCTGCATCATGTAGTTCCGTGCTAGCACGGTGTCTTTCATGTCGCTCTCCATGAAGCTCTCAGCCTGCTAGACCGAACAGTTGCAATGCAGTGCTGGCAGGCCTCTCTGCATTAAATTAGAAGAGAGCAAAGTACAATAACACGGAATAGACTTGCGATCAAGCCACCGAGATGGAAGAAAAGCCGCTGCTCTTCTCTTCGTGACTGATGCCATTTTGCCCTGTGACAATCCTGGGTTTCACAACAGACTTCGCTGCCGAAGCAAATGCTAAGCAAGGTCTCTCCCAAAACCCTAAAGCCCTAAACCCTAAACCCGAGAACCATAAAGTTTAAGCTTTTGTGAAACCTAAATTGCCGAGCGTCACCACGTTTTGGTGCAGCTCCACCAAAACTTCTCCTGGCCTCTGCACCGCCAGGTGGGCCGCTGCAGCCCCAAGTAGGCGCCTTGCCAGGAGCTCCTCCTGCTTAGGGGTTTAGGGATACGGGTGTAATGTTTAGGGCTTGGGGGTTTTCGGGTTTAGGAGCTTAGGAGTTTAGGTGTTTACGGGCTTTCGTGGTTTAGGGTTGAGGGTTTGCCGCAAGATTGCGCAGTATCTAGCGACAGTGGAGTTGTGAGTACATCCTCCGACGCTGTCAGCCGCGGCCAAACCACCGGAGGGCACGGCAGGGCAGAGCAGGCAGGGCAGCGTGGCGGGAGGGGGCAGGGGAGGCGGGCAGGGCAGGTTGAGGGTTGAGGGTTTAGGGTTTAGGGGTTTAGGGGTTTAGGGGTTTAGGGCTGAAGGCTGCTTGAGGGATTTAGGGGATTATAAGCGTTGAGGGATTTAGGGGGCTTAAGGATTTAGGGGTTTAGGGTGCGGGGGAGTTTACGGGTTGGGGGGCTTTATGGTTCGGTGATGAGGCATTCTCGCATACCGGCTAGGTTTGCTCACATGCTCACAGGACTGCTGCTGTGAGAGTGCTTTGCAGACAGCACAATCAGATTGAAGAGATGCGGGCCTGTGCCGTAGTGATCCACGTAGTGAGGGGTAGGGCTTAGGATTTAGAGTGTGCTGCATGCGGAGCAGACATGTCAGTTCGCTTCATCGGCATGTCAAACTGTAAACAAGCGACGGGAAGAAAGACAGGAAGTTCCTCTGCAAGTAACTTGTTTCGTAACACTAAACCAGAAACCCTAAACAACAAAATGCACCAAGTATGCACCTGAGCCCTTCTGTTCTTGGTCCTCGAAGTGCTCCGACCTTGCGCATGCAGTGAGCTCCAGCTGGACGCTGCCGCTCTCCTGGTTGGCACTGACGACAAAGAAGGTCTTGCACTGCCTTTGTCAAGTTCACTGCACACTGAGAAGTCTGTGTGTGTAGCTGTTAGGAGGCACCCCTAAACTTTGCCGCTAAACCCTAAACAGATCTGAGCGGCCGCATGGTGCGGTGCTGCCTGAAGAAGAGGAAGGCGAGGAAACAGGGCACCGCTCCGCCGTAGACGGCGGCAGTGCTCCAGCCGACTCGGTCCACCTCTGACAAGGAAGCCTAGATATTGCTTGTAGTACAAACACACAGGAGTTCGAAGTTCGAATCAAGGGCTTCCCAAACAAACGTTGAATAGGGGCTCGTCCCCTAAACCCCAAACCAAAAAAAATAACATGTCAGAAGTAAATCCCCTAAACCCTAAACCGAAAGAACCCTGATCCCTAAACCCAACGAAGAGAGCACTGGGCACCCCCACCCAGGCGGCTGCGGCGGTCTCCTTCGAGCACCGGAGCCACGGGAAAAGCGGCCGGAAGGCCAGGTCGTCTGGTATCCAGGTGCCTCGTCGGCTTTAGCCGCTTAGGATTAAGTGATTGAGGGTCAGGGCACAAAAACCTAGGACCCACACTCAAGCCTTACACTTTAGAGGCCCTCAACCATAACCCCTCTCTGAGAACCCCGCAACAGTACCCTAACTAAGAACCTGGGCACGATAGACCCTCCACGCTAAGTCCTAAACACCCCGCCTTCACCGTCGGTGCGCTGGCAGCCCAGCAGCTTCACCGCGCCGGAGGCGCCTCCCACGAAGAGGACCGTCAAGGCGCGGAGTGCCAGCTGGATGCCTCCAAAGTATGAAGAAAAAAGGCCCAAATACCTTTTTGAGGTACGAGTAGAGTTTGTGGTAGAGAGATCATCGGGCCATGATGTTGTGTAGTTTTACAAGAACTGTTTGGGGATACTTTCCTCAACCAGACCTCCATGGTATTGGGTTGGGGGAAAAAAGCGGCTAGCACCGTTGCCGGTTCTTTTGGAGCATGTCTCTGGTGCAGACAAGGATCCCATGCCAAGGTTCCGAAGCTCTAGGCAGGCGCCTGGGCTCTTGCTACGGAGTGTAATTCAAGTTGCCATAAGAAAGAAACCCGCTTATTTACTATAGGTCCCTATCATGGTACCTTAAAGTATGTTCCCTAACAAGAACACAGGCGCATGCAACCAGGACCAGCAAGGGAAGGAGGGGCGTGACAAGGGCGAAGATGCCGCGGACCGTCGCACCGTCGTAGCGGCACTGGAAGTCCAGGAAGCTTTGCAACTCCGAGCCCGTGAACTGTAGGATTTCGATGTAGGAAAAAAGCGGGTCCCCTCGGCTCACATCTTTGCAGCTTCAGGCGTTACCATGCCCTGAAAAAAAAAAGGTTCGGCTTGCCAGGCCGAGCCGCGATCCGTGTTCAACTCCACAGGGGCGGGGACGTCATCGGTGACATTGTACGCGACCACTTCCTGCAAGACCTCAGCTCCAACGGGGCCACACCGAAAAATCGCAAACAAACCCTTAGCCTTAGCCCCAAAATCCTTCATGCTAAACATTGCCTGAATCAACCCTCGTTTGGAGCTGCAGCTCCGGGCTTCAAGTGCAACCCAGGCGCTTTTTGTGCCTCCCTGGCGCTCGTCAGGCGCCTAGGTAACAAGCTCAGTGCAAGAGGATGGCGACAGCGAACCCAGAGCTGTGCCCCCACACTGCAACTGTCATAAGACTTTTTTTTCCAGTATGGACAGCCGTGGGGATGTGTGAGAGCGAGAGTGAGAGTAAGGGCGAGAGAGCCATTGACCCGGCCGAGGCGCGCCAGCAGAGCCCAGAGCTGTGCCAGCTGCAGCAACACCGCGCCTTGAGACACCAGGAGCTGCGCCGCACACTCCATTCCCAGACCAGGCTTTGGGATGTAGCTCCTGGCTTTTGTCTTTTAGCCTGCTGAGGTTTGGGGATGTTTAGTCTGCATAAGGGCCTTTAAGGGCTGTTGGAGCTTTACATGGTTTTTACAAAGGTTTAAGGGCTTTCTGAAGCCTGGCTATAAGCGCCTCAGGAGGCAGCCTGCGGCGACGACGGTGCCCATCAGCGCCAGAGTTCCCAGGGAGACCACGAAGACCAAGACCACCGACTGCCTCGACGAGAATCGGAAGGAATGCCCGATATAAAATAAAAAGGACTTGCAACTAATTTTACTATCCTCAAGCAATATAACTCATAAACGCCAAATTAAAACCTCCCCTTAGTCAGTAGTATCAGTAACTGCGGTGCCCCTATTTGATCCTCGAGGTGCTGGCGCAGGCTCTGGCATTCGTCGCACTGCTTGCCGAAGTTGAAGGAGTGGTAGTTAGGAGCGCACTCCACACATAGGGGGCCGGAGTGTCCTTGAGACGTGACTTTCCGAAGGCATGCAACGGGGTCATGTCACTAGAGTACATGACAAACACGCTCCCGACACCTTCAGCCTACACATCCAGGAAACCTGATCATTCGTAATGATCCGCAAATTGAATCTCGACATGCAAAACGATTGGATGTTAGGAGACGTTAGGAGCATCCTAAACCCTGAACCAAAAGCCGAAGACAAGGATCCAGCTGCGCAGCCCGAATCCGTGAAGGGTGTGCAACGCTCTGCCTCTAAGCAGCGGAAGACCTGCGCGCACCGACATGGCTTGGGTTATGCAGGGCTCATAAGGATCTAGAGTTTTGGGTTTTGGGGTTTGGGGTTTGGAACGATTTAGGGATCCTGGATCCTAAGATCGGCATCCCACCTGAAGGGAGCCGGAGATGCGGGCATAGCCTTGTTCCACCGGAGCATGTGCTGCGATGCTGCCGTGCTCAGGACAGTCGATGTGGAGTTTGCTGCATGGCGCACAGAGGCCACCAAGCTGCGCCGTGTGAGCCTGTGTTCTGGTTGAGGAACTTAATCAGGAAGCCCGATTCTTTACTGTAGATCCCTACTTGTATCGTGGTAGCTTCCATTGAGTCCCTTAACAAGAGCCGAGGCGCGTCACATTGGCAACTCCGGTTGCCCTTCTCGCCCCGAGGCTTGCCATAGCTGCAATCGCAGGCAGTCAGCGCCGCAGAGCCATTGGCCGAGGTGCTGTTGGCTGGGCACGCCTCACACTGCGGCTGGTCATCCTCATCTGCGAAGGTGTCGGCAGGGCAGGCCTCTCCCACATGTCCCGATAAGAAACAATGAATAGAGGAATATGCCCTTACACTCCTTATAGGGTTCTTATCGTATACAAATACCCCCGAAACTCTGTTCTATCATTAAGGCCCGCATATTTCGTAGCTTCGCGCGCCTCGCAGGTGGCACCCTTTCCGAAGTGGCCGGGCTGGCACTTGCACATGTACCTTGAGCACAAAAGGAACCCTAAAAGTGGGTCCCCCTCGTAAGGGTTTCTTTAAGGGTTCCTTTAAGGGTAACTTTATATAGGGTTTACCATGAAGGGATTCATAGTATAAGGGTATCCCTAAATCCAAAACCCTGTCATTTGGCCCCAAGGTACTGCGGCAGGAAAAGCTCCGGGGTGACGCGCAGCGCGGGGAGCGCGAAGTGAGCGCAGGCGTAGCCCTCGGCGTGCAAGGTTCGCCTGGCGGGCCCACAACAACTATCGAGTTCATATAGGTTTGGAGTTTAGGGCATCCAGTGCAAAGAGACCACGAGTCCAGGAACTTAAACTCTACATCGTCAGCCCTAAACCCTATACGGTCATGGGAGAAGGCCTTAGCCCTCTTCTGAGCAGGGGCGCCTGGAGTCCTGCATGGGCAGCTTCTCCTTGAGACGCCGTGCCTCCTCTTGGACCACCTCCGGGTTCTGCAGGCGCGTGCCCTCCATGTGCACCTCTGTGTGGTTCAGCACCACCTGCAACTGCGATTGCTAGATTTTGCGTACAATCCAAGCAATGTGAGACATGTCAAGGCATCCCAACGAATGAAAAGAGTTGGGAGGAGCCTGGGTCAGCACGCCGTCGCCAAGTTTCATCGGGCCAGCATTGCTGCTGAGATCCAAATACGTTACGCTTGCGCCAAGGCGGGGAACGGCACTCAGCGGATTTCCTGCCAGGTCCAGGTATTCCAGGCTTTTGTCCAAGCGGCTGACCCAGCCATCGGTTTGGTTTGGCAGCTCACCACGCAGGCCGCTGCGGGCGGCCGCCAGGCTCTTCAGCGGTGTCCCCAGTAGGGGAACCAAGAGCTCTGTGGCAGTGCCATTCAGCGGGCAGCCGCTCACCTCAGCTAAAACAGGACTCATGTGTGGAATCCGAGCGGCTAAACAGGAGTCGGGCACCTGCGAGGGAGACTGAGCTGCAGGCGTTCAGGCGCTCAAGGGAGGGCAGCAGCCGGGGCGGCTTCTGCTCCTCTCCCAAAGGCCGTAGGCCACCCACCAGGCTGTCCTGAGAACGAGATCCCCAAAGGCTCGAGCACGAAGACACAGCTGCAAAGCCACTGAGCGCCACACGGCGAGATCCAGCTCCCGCAGGTCTTTGCAGCAGCTCTGCAAGTCGGAAAGCAGCCCGCCGCTCACCCGGGTCCCGGACAAAAGCGCCGTTTCGAGGCCCCGGAGCTTTGCGATATCTGCCAGCTCGCCGCCGACGGCGGTGGCTCTCAGGTCCAAGTGTGCAAGCAACCCCCATCCTCCTCCAAGATCCTGGGTTTTTGCAAGGAACTTACTTGAAGTTACCATACTGGGGCTCTTGTCCAGGGATCTAGTTTAAGTTACCATAATAAGGAAGCCCTATTCTTTACTACAGATCCCTATTTATGGTGGTTTTAAACGAAGCTCCTTAACAAGAACCCAGGATCAGCCACAGTGCCCGAGACTGCAGTCTGGCGGAGGTTGAGGACGTTGAGGGGCAGCGGGCCGAAGACCTCGAGGTTGCCCCAGACTCCCGTCTCCTGGAGATCCAAGACGGCCAGATGCCTCGGCTGAGTACCGTAGCAAAAAAAAAACAGGGTAACCTTTCCAATTACGGTCGGACTATATAAAGCACCTGCTCCACCACCAAGTCTCAATTTTCTTACAGCGCTGACGTTGCCAGAGACTTGAGTCTTAGACAGCTCCAGAGTCGTCATCTCCGTAAGATTCTCCAGGCTTTCCAGCCGGCCGTGAATGTTCTTCACCCTGCCCAGCAGCAGCTTTTCGAGCTTTGTGAGCTCCCGAGCCGCAGCGAGGTCGCCGGAGATAGCGGTCTTGCTGACGTCCAAGTCCTTGAGTTGGCTGAGAAGCCGGACAGCCACCAAGTCTCCGGAGACGGTCGTGTCGTGGAGATCCAGCACCCGCAGCTCGGTAAGATGTTGCAGAGGAGCCAATGGGCCCGACAGCCTCGTCTTATCCAGCACCAGCCGCCACAATCGAGTCAGCCCTGCCAGGGGCTCCAGGCTTCCAGAGACGTCGGTTTCGGCGAGGTCCAAGTCTCGGAGCCCTCTGAGGTTCTTCAGGGGTGCGAGCTCCCCAGCGATTTGGCTTCGGTGCAAGTCCACCAGGCGGAGCGCAGCGTGGCCTCGCAAGGGGCCGAGCTCGCCCCCGACCTGCGTTTGTGCCAAATTCAGGGACTCCATCTTCCCCTTGCCCTCCAGAAATTTGAGGCTGCCGGAGACGTGGGTCTCGCGCAGGTCCACCTCCCGGAGGCGTCTCATCCCCTGCAAGGCATCCAGATTCCCCGTGACCTGGCTGTTTTTCATGTCCAGGATCTCGAGATCGGTCGCACCGCTCAAGGCCTCGAGGTCGCCGGAGAGCTGTAGACGAAGGACGACCAGGTGCTGCAGGCTCTGGGAGTGTCTCAGATCCTCGAGGCTTCCCTCTACCTTTGTGTCAGCGACGTCCAACACCCTCAAGCCCCCGATCTTTGACAGGTTCGCAAACTGGCCACTGATGTTGCATTCCGCCAGATTCAGGACCTCCAGCCCTGTGAGGTTCTCCAAGTTCTCCAAACTGCCACTGACTTTCGTCTTTGAGAGGCCAAGATGCTTGAGCGGCAGGTCGGAAACCTCGAGGTTCCCTGCGACAAGTGTGCGGGAGAGATCGAGGTGATGGAGCTGTTGGGCGTAGTGCAGGGCATCGACGTCCCCAGAGACCTTTGTGTGGGAGAGATCGAGGTGATGGAGTTGTCGGGCGTTCTGCAGGGCATAGAGGCTCCCTTCGACGCGTGTGTGGGAGAGATCGAGGTGATGGAGATGTCGGTCGTTAGGGTCGATCATGTCCCAATCGAGATCATCGAAAACTTGGTCGTGCAGGGCATGGAGGTCCCCTTCGACCCCTGTGTGGGAGAGATCGAGGTGATGGAGTTGTCGGGCGTCCTGCAGGGCATAGAGGCTCCCTGCGACGCGTGTGTGGGAGAGATCGAGGTGATGGAGTTGCGTGCCATTGCGCAAGGCATCGACTTTCCCGGAGACCCCTGTGTGGGAGAGATCGAGGTGATGCATTAGTCCAAGCTCGCTCAGGGCCGCGACGTCCCCAGAGACCTTGGAGTTGGAGAGGTCCAGGCGCTCAAGCTGCCGCAGGGATGCCACGGCATGCAAGTCGCCCTGCGCATCGTGGCGAGTGATCTCCACGACGCAGCCCTGGTCATCACAGCGGATGCCGGGCCAGTCGCAGAAATCACCCTCTCCGCCGATCTGCAGCTTCCTGAGGGCCTTAAGGTCTCCAGTGCCTCGGCTCAGTGTCGAAAGCCTACCACAGCACAGCATCCCGCTTGCCACCCTTCAAAACAGAGAGCTGCTTCTGCAGAGCCAGGCACAGTTCGGGGAGTCCGTGGTCTCCCTCTCAGCCACGCTGCTGGATCTGGCCTCCAAGGTGCCAGGGGGCGGAGTTGAAAACTCTCTTGACTCCGAAGCTTGTACTTCTACGCTGTAGAAGTAGGTCTGACCTGGGCCCGTAGACTCTATGTCAGGTCAGATCTGCAGCAAACTCTCGGCTTGCAGATGGACACAAGTGAAGCAAGTAGCCAAGCTATGGGAAACAAGCTGACACTGAGGTGGGCCTGGTATCGTGGGTCCGTTCTTCCTTCCTGCTCCGACACTTCACGGTACATGTCGACGAAAGCTCAGCTTTGGCAACTACGAGGGCTTCAACATGCCGGTTCTGTTCAGGTAACTCTCATTCGGAAAAGTCAGATGCTAAATAATACTAACTACCACAATGACAATAACAAGACAAGAATGGCACAATAATAAGACTGCAGCAATACTATAAAACATTTGGGAGCTGGCAACTTCTCACTCGTGCCTTTGGGCTCGAAATCCCGTTGCTTCTCCGGCCCCATGTAGACTCCCTTGAAACAACATGGCTAGTTCTCTAAATAAGGATTCCCCCATATAGTACGGCACCCTTATAAAAGGACCCGAAAAGGGACTCTAATTTAGAGAGCCGCCCACAGGGCACCCTGAGCTCCCAGCGCCCCACCCCCATAGGCAAGGAAGGAATCTGCCATAAATCAAAGGCTAAAGAGAATCCCCAAACCCTAAGCCCTAAACCTCCCTAAACCTCTCGAAACCTCTCCAAACCTCCCAAAACCTCCCAACCCTAAACCCTTGAGCCCCCCCCTCTCTGGGCTGCACATGGCGAAAGGTACCCGGGCCCCGGCTGGTAGCGGCTTGGACGGCGCAGCGGGCTCCTTCTGAGGAATCGTGGGTCCGGGGTTCTTTCGTGGCTTTCCTTCTTCTGGTCATGTACTTTGGGGGGGTTAATGGGTAGTTATAAGTAGGGGTTATAAGGAGGATAACTATATTTCTAGTTTTTTCCGATATTCAAGGACTCTTATAACTACACTTATAACAAGCAAACAGCCGAAATAGCACGGTAGCATAATCTAGTCGTGCCGTGCCTCAAAAAACAACTGGGTTTCTTGTTGCTGGCTTCTGTACTGTAAGGGCTCCGTTAAAATGGGGTCTCGTGGACCACCCAGGGGGCCTGTCCAGTATTTCAGCGTTTGGGCCTCGCTGGGAAAAATGGCAAGTGCAGGGCTCTACAGTTTAGGATTTAAAGGCTTCGGGATTTGGGCTTTAGGGCTTCTAGGAACTGCAGGATTTCCAGTTTAGAGCTCAGGGTTTTGGGCTTTGAGGTTGTTGGGGTTCAGGGTTTGGGAGCTCGGAGAATGCTGGAGCCTCGACGGGAAGGTGCAGGTGCTCGGACTTCGGGATTTCGATCTCCTCGGTCCACACGCAGGTCTCCACACACCACGATCCTATAACTCCGAGCCCTACACGGACTGAACACAGATCCTAAATCCTACACACCCCCAAAGCACCGCAGTCGGGCGGAAGCTCGCTGAAAACCTGCGATGATCCGCAGACCTGAGCCTCGGGCAGAAGGGGCCAAGGCCGACGTCGATCCGCCCGCTTGGCCTACGCGGTGTCTTGCGTCCTGAGCTTTTGGTCTGGCAGAGGGGTTTGGCAGAGGGCAGTGGGGTCGGCGAGGTCAAGGCTTCGGAGGCGCAGAGTGCGGGAGGCAGACATAAACTGGAGAGATGCAAGCAAGAAACGCCGGCACTCGGCGCGAGCTCTGCGAAGATCTCAGGGCGCACGCCGAAGCTCGGGCCCACGGCCACGACCAGGCACGCCACTGAGAGCCATGAGATGCGAGATATGGAAGGAAGGACTGAACAAACTGCGGATGCCATGAGCCTGAGCCCACAGGCCTCGGAGAAGCACAAGAAACCCGGTGACACCGCGCTTCACCGTGCGTGTGCTGCTGCTCAGATCTTGAGTGAACCTACGCCGGGCTGAGTAGCTCTGAAACCCCTCAAACCATGAACCTCGGAACACCAGACTCAAAGCTCCGCACACTATGCACAGCCTGAACCTCTAAGCTCCCTGCGTACACTCCGAAACCCTGAACCCCAAACCTCAACCCCCTAAACCCCAAACCCAAAACCTCAAACCCCAAACCCGAAACCCTAAACCCCAAGCCTTAAATCCTGAACCCGAAACCCTAATCCCTAAACCACAAACCCAACCCGAAACCCTAACCCCAAACCCCAAACCCTAAATCCTGAACCCGAAACCCTAACCACCCTAACCCCAAACCCCAAACCCTAAACCCCAAACCCCAAACCCCAAACCCTAAATCCTGAACCCTAAACCCTAAACCCCAAACCCCAAACCCTAAATCCTGAACCCTAGACCCTAAACTAAACCACAAACCCGAAACCCCAAACTCCAAACCCTAATTCCTGAACCCTAAACCCTAAACCCCCAACCCGAAACCCTAAATCCTGACCCCGAAACCCTAAATCCTGAATCCTAAACCCTACACCCCGAACCCTAAACCCCAAACCCCAAACCCTAAATCCTGAACCTAAACCCCAAACCCCAAACCATAAATCCTGAATCTAAACCCCAAACCCCAAACCCTAAATCCTGAACCCTAAACCCTAAATCCTGTCCCCGAAACCCTAAATCCTGAACCCTAAACCCTAAACCCCGAACCCTAAACCCCAAACCCCAAACCCTAAATCCTAAACCTAAACCCCAAACCCGAAACCCTAAACCCCAAACCCTAAATCCTGAATCCTGAACCCTAAACCCTAAACCCGAAACCCCAAACCCTAAACCCCAAGCCCTGAGGCGTTTCGGCCCAGGGGTAGTTTGCGGACTCCGCTCCCCCTGTGCCCTAGCCCTAGCGCGGCCATTGTCTTTTGGCCCGCGAGCGAGGCCCATAGCTGCGACCGTAAGGCTGCTGTGGTGCCACAACCTTTGAGCTGTACGTTTTCGAGGCTCTGGGTTTTCTATATCCCCGCCTTCTGGGCGGCTGGATT